TTTAGTAGAGATGGGGTTTTGCCATGTTGGCCAGCCTGGTCTCGAACTCCTGACCTCAGGTAATCCACTCACCTCAGCCTCCCAAAGTGCTGGGATTACAGGCATGAGCCACTGCGCCTGGCCGATTTCTTACCTTTTACAGACAGCGAAAGTGATTTGCCCAAGGTCTTATGATAATCACAGCACAGCTAGGCTTCTGACTCAAATCTGACTCTAATGTCATCATTCTTTCAATCAAAGCAGTTTCCAAAATGTCTGTCATTCTTGCACTGTCATTGTGATTTTGGTCTTTATCTACCTACCATCTGCCCTATTAATGTTTTTATTGACATAAACTCTTAAATACATTTATTTAGAAAGGAATATTTTTATCGCTATCATAAAATGGAAAACCAGAATCACTTACCATAAGTGGAAAATGACTATAAAAATAAATACAGGTATACTTCACAGGTATTGTGGATTCGGTTCCAGATCACTGTGATAAAGCAAATATGGCAATAAAACAAATCACACAAATTTTTTGGTTTCCCCAGACATATAAAAATTTTTCTTACACTATACTGTAGTCTATTAAGTATGCAATAGCATTTTGCCTTTAAAACAATATGCATACCTTAATTTCAAAATACTTTAGTGCTAAAATTTGCTAATGATCGGCCAGCCATGGTGGCTCACACATGTAATCCCAGCACTTTGGGAGGCCGAAGCCAGAGGATCACTTCAGGTCAGCAGCTCAAAACCAGCCTGGCCAACATGGTTGAAACCCCCTCCCTACTAAAAATACAAAAAAATTAACTGGGTGTGGTGGCAGATGCCTGTAATTTCAACTACTCTGGAGGCTGAGGCAAGAGAATCGCTGGAACCGGGAGACAGAGGTTGCAGTGAGCTGAAATTGTGCCACCGCACTCCAACCTGGGCAAAAGAGCGAGATGCCATCTCCAAAAAAAATGCTAATGATCATTTGAACCTGCAGTGAGTCATGCTCTTTGCTGGTGGGTTTCCTTCATGAACTTTTCTTCTACATCCACAATTTGCTAATAACTGTTTGGCACAAGAGGCTTCACTTTCTACCTATCTCAGTTCTCAACAAGTCTTCCTCCCTAAGTTTCATTATTTCTAGCTTTTGCTTCAAGGTGAGAGATGTGTGGCTGTCCTTTCTTGAATACTAAGAGAGAATTGTAGGGTTCATTGGCCTAATTTCAATATTGTGTGTCTCAGGGAATAGGGAAGCCTGAGGAAAGGGAGAGAGAAGTGGGAAGGGCCAGTCAGTAAGGCAGTCAGAACACACATCACATTTATCAATTAAGTTCACCATCTTACTATTTTTATTTTATTTTATTTATTTTATTTTGTTTGAGGCAGAGTCTCGCTCTGTCACCTAGACTGGAGTACAGTGGTGCAAACTCGGCTCGCTGCAACCTCTGCCTCCTGGGTTCAAGGGATTCTCCTGCCTCAACCTCCCAAGTAGCTGGGATACAGGCACACACCACCACAACCAGCTAATTTTTTTTTGTATTTTTAGTAGAGTTGGAGTTTCACCATGTTGGCCCAGGACTTTGAGACCAGCCTGGGCAACATAATGAGACCTCATCTCTACTAAAAATCCAAAAAAATTAACTGGGCATGGTGGTGTGCACTTGTAGTTCTAGCTACTTGGGAGGCTGAGGCAGGAGGATTGCTTGTGCCCGGAGGTTGAGGCTGCAGTGAGCTGAGCTTGTACCACTGCACTCCAACCTGGGCAACAGAGAAATAACCTGTTTAAAAAAAAAAAAAAAAAGGATAGGCCACATATGTGCAGTGGGATACACTCTTCAGAGAGATAGGACCTTGGAGGTCGTTTAATGCAGAATCTCTTCCTCAGCATTCTAATCCCCACAACTACCTGCAGGAGATGTGTTTCAAGACTCCGGGCAGCTACCTGAACCCACAGATAGTACCATATCATACATATACTCTTTTTTCCTATACATACACATCTAGGATAAAGTTTAATTTATAAAATTAAGCACAGTAAGAAGTAAACAATAATAATAATAAAATAGAACAATTATGATAAATGCCATTATCACTACTCTTGCACTTTGGGGCTATTAATAAGTAAAGTAAGGGTTACATGAACACAAGCACTACAATGCCATGGTAGTTATCTGATAATCAAGACTGCTACTGGCTAATAAGCAGGTAAACACAGACAGCATGAAGATACAAGATGTCTCAAGCTACTCAGAGTGACATGCAATTTAAAATCAATGAGTTGCTTATTTCTGGAATTTTCCATTTAATATTTTCAGATTGCAGTTAATGACAAGTAACTGAAACCCAAAAAACAAAACCGTGGATGGAGTGGAATACTGCACACATTCAGATGCATGAGCATGCATGTGCGTGCACACACACACAATCTTATGCCATGTTCCCCACATGACCAACTGTCACGGGATCCTTGAGGTGTCACTTTTCCATCTGGAAATCTCTGTGGCTGGTGGTGCCTTTGCCTGAGTTTTGCTCATTCCACCTACTCGACCAGGCAGGCTGCACTCAGCTTGTGCTACTAGCCTGGATCCCACGGCTGCCAAGAACAAGCCAGGAGTGGAGCAGTCGGGGGAGAAGTGTGTGAACAAGCTGGGGGTCTAGCCACTGTGCACAATCAGGTGTGCCAGCTGTGGTGGGGCAGGCACTCCAGGTGCTGACAGGCCACGGCTCTGTGCAAGGCTTCAGCAGGACCACAAGTGGCTTTCACTGCAGGCACTGGGGAATGCAGTGGTGCCTGGGAGCTTGGAGATGCCAGGAATCACAGGGCCCCAAAGAGAAAGTCACTGCCATGGCTCAAGGAGCCCCTAGGTCTGGGATCCCTGAAGGGTCACAGCTCTTCTTTCTTTCTCATCACCCACAACGTGGTGGGTGGAGGGTTTGTTTCAATTCTGTTTGTGTTACAGCTCTTTCAGTCCTGCCATTTGGTGGATCTAGAGTTTTTGCCCCATGTTCAGGAAGAATGAGGTATGTGGACAACTTGGGGGTGAGCAAGGCAGAGAGGAGCTTCACTGAGCAAAAGAACAGCTCTCAGGAGACTGGCAGTAGGTAGCCCCTTTCTGCTGGCAGGCCATTCCAACTAGTTGAGGAAACCTGAAGTGGGTAGCTCCTTCCCATAGTCCCGATGATCTCTGTGACTCTGGCTGAGTCCTGGGGTTTTTATGGGCTCAGAAGGGAGGAGTGTGTGCTGACAGGTCCATGGGTGGCCATGGGCAGGCCTGGAAAAAGCACCATCCAACTGACCAAAGGGTCATCAATGAAGTCCTCACTCTGGAAGTCTTCCTTCACCCAGAACTGGCAGCCTGGCCCCCAGGCTTCAGGCTGTTCCTGGCTTAAAGGTGGGGTTTCACTGGGAACTTGCCCCTTCCCACCCAGGAACTTGTCTGCCTCCCACTATCAACATGCTGTCCATGGCACCCAGGCTGTTTGTGCTGAGGGGTACCTGCAGGCCGACACCAAGATGCCCTCTCCCCATGGCCTTTCTCCTGCACTCATTGGCACCCAAAGTCTGGAGGGGGCCAAGGTGGTAGTAGGGCCGGTGTATCAGTGCCACCCAGAGCACACACATACGTAGCCAGATTGCATAGCGTCCTGGTGCAGCCACAACTTTGCTTCACACCACAGTGGGCTCCAGGAGCGGGGAGAAGCCAGGGAGTGAGAGCAGGCACTTCTGAGTCTGCAGGGCAGGGGCTTCCTGGGGCCCTGAGAGTGCAGGGATGCCTAGGTCTGGAGCCACAGCTAGTAGCTGCAGCTGTGTCCAAGAGCACCGGGCTCCCACCCTGCCAACTCCATTGGTAGCGTGGCTCGTGCCTGTTCCAGCTCCTGCTGTCCCTGTGGAGCACATAACCCCACTGTGCCTCCCCTTCTGCAGCCAGCATCGACAGCAGCTGCTCCAGATGGGCTGCCACTACTATCACAACCATGAGGCCTCAGCTGAGACAGCTCCTTCCATGGCATATGTCAGTCCTGTCACTGAAGTGAATGCTTGTTCTTAACCTTCACTGTGCAGATTCACCCCATAAAACCTCACCTATTTCTCAGGACCGTTCTGCCCAGCAGGGCCTCCAGCTTGAAAGTAGAGAAGGCAAGGCAGGGACAGGATGTGCTCTATTACCCTTGAAATTTCATTCTAGAGCTGTGCAGTCCCATAGTTCTGCAATGACTGAAATGCTCTATAGTCCTTACAAGTCACATGTAACTACTGGGCATTCGAAATGTGGCTAGTGTGAGTGAGAAACTGCGTTCTTCTTCTTTTTTTTTTTTTTTTTTTAATGTGAATTACATTTAAATAGCCACATGCGGTTGGTGGCTACTTATTAAACAGCACAGCACAGTATTTGATAACAAAGAGACCTCTTGAAGGACATCTTCTGGATCAGTACCTATCCCAGATAGCCATAAACAAACCCTGCCACCATCATCTATCCCCTGCCTTTGAAAAGGGAAAGAATTTGGAAGGATGAACCTGTCCTCCTTTCTGAATATCCCCTTCTTCTTCTCCTTTCTCCCATATTCTTCCCTTTCTCCACATCCCAAGATTTCTCAGGAAAAGCCTAGACCTTTATTTGAAGGGACAGAATTTTGAGAATATTTAGAACTTACTGCCAAAAGAACCAAGTAAACGTGCCTCTGGAACATGTATAAATAAAGCACTTACGAATGGAAAGCAGAATATGAGAAATGGCACTTCACTCTGTTTGCTGCCATGACAAAAATACATATGCAATTAGGGAATGAATGCCTATTTTCTTAGATTAAGGAATTACAGTAAATTTTCTTAGATGTAGAAATGATATTGCGATTATGTAAGACAAGTTTCTTATTTTGGGGGATGCTAGAAGACTTAGGAATAACATGCCATGATGTAATATCTGTGTGTGTATGTGTGTGTGTGTGTGTGTGTGTGTGTCTGTGTGTCTGTGTGTCTGTGTATATGCACGCACATGTGCATACATGTAGGCATATGAGCACTTAAACACCAAGATAGATACATGTATAATACACATATAGATACATAGATAAGATAAATTGATGCATTGATGCATAGACAAATACATTGTTTAGATACATATATTGGCTACATACATACATACAAGCATAGATTAGATGGTAGATACATAGATGTAAACAGGTGATAGGGCAAACTGTCTATAATTGTTAAAAATAAGAGTGGGCAAGGGGTGCTCATAAGGGAAACATGATGGATGATGGAACTACTGCTAATAAAAACTGTTTTTATTACTGCTGAGTGGAGACCTCTTAAGGCCAGTGTGAGAAGTGGGTGGGTGTCGCTTCACCAGCCCCTCCAATAGGGTGACATGCTGGAGAAGCAGCAAGGCAGGGCCAGACAAGGTCCACACAGGAGGGAATGATCACAGGAAGGAGGAAGGAGCCATAGTCTGCATGGGCAGGACGGTAAGGACAATGGGCAGGATGGTATTAGATCCTCCCAAGGCCATCTCCTTCCCACTCCTGCCTCATTCCAAGCTTACAGTAGTGGACAGCCAGGCCAGAGCAGGGCCTGAGAGCCACCAAGACTGGCCAGGGGCCAGTGGGAGGAAGAACAAGGAAGGCAAAGCAGTCCCGAGTCCAGGGAATTCGGCTGTGAGGGCAAGTGGCCTGCGGGGACAGAGAGGAAACTTAGGTTTATTGCTCTCACCCCACCTCTCAAAGTGACTGAGGGAGAGAGGCTGAGACATCAGTTTCTCACCCTGCATATACACACTTGAAGCCCAGTCTCACACCCTTTACCTGCTATGGCTGTCAGTGATACCATAGACTCAGGGGTTACTAGTCTCCCTAACTTTGTGGGCTATGCAAAGAATGAGGAAAGCTGTATTGAGTTTCCTTTGATGACCCCCACTGGAGATCCATGCCCTCTTGGAGGTTGAGTCAGCTGGCTCTCCCCATGTCCTGCAATACTGAGGCCTGGCCTGAATTCTTACCCCAGCAGGGCTTGAGACAGGATTTAGGTGGGGTGTCACTCAGACACCTGTCTGGTGCTGTTGCCCAGCACAGCTGATAGCAGGAGGGACCCAGTGGTTCCAGGGCAGGCAGGGCTGCTGTGGGCACACTGCCAGGGGACTGCTAAAAAAAAAAAAAAGCAAGAGAAGAACCTTAGCTGCCAGTGATGCCTCCTGTTTAGAATGCCAGGACCCCAGGGCTGCCTGACACCCAGGTTGTATCCTGCTGAACTCCAGAGAGAACCATTCACTTAGTAGACTTTGGGGATAGTACTTTCTTGATGTGGACCCTGTGGGGCCCTGGGGAGCCAGAGATCCTGGCTCAGGCCAGAAATGGGAGAGGTCGTAAGCCCTTCAGTCTTCCCAGGTCACAGACTCCTCTCTCCTCCCAATTACCTGTGCAGAGATGATTCCTGGGGCAACCCTTGGCACAGTCAGCCCCTGAGAAGCACCTATAAAATGACAGTGAACCCACTCAGAAGGAGGAATTGGGTTTGGGCGCAGGAGGAGCATGGTGAGAAGCAGGAAGGTTAAATGCAAGGAGGTTCTAGGAAAGTCAGCAACTTCTGGCTGGGGTGGGAGGAGATGGATATTTTAACCCAAAACTGCCCTCTTCCCCAAGACAGGTCCTTGGGAAACTGGAGAAGAATGATTAAATTCCAGTGATGGTACTGGGGACAGTGCAGCCTTAAGAGCAGGGACTGGGTGTGCCCAGCATCTAGCACAGGGTCTGGCACTTGGGAGATGCTGAGTAAATGTTGGATGGATGGGTGGGTGGATGCATAGATGAATGGAAAAATGGATGATGGATGCATGGGTGGGTGGATGGATGCATGGGTGGATGCATGGGCAAATGGATGGATAAATGGATGCATGGGCAGATGCATGGATGAATGGGTGAATGGATGGATAAATGGATAGGTAGATAGGTGGGTGGCTGGGTGACTGGGGGTTGAATAAATGGATTCATGGGTGGATGGATGGATGAAGGGAAGGATGCATGGATAGACTGGTGGATAAATGGGTAGCTGTGTGGGTGGGTGGATGGATGAATGGATGCATAGATGGACAGATGGATGGATGGATGGATGGATGGATGGATGGATGGATGGATGGATGGCTAGGTGAGTGGGTGACTGGCTGGCTGGAGGGAGGGAGGGATGACTGGCGGGCTGGCTGGCTGGCTGGCTGGTTGGATGGATGGATGGATAGATGGATGGATGGATAAATGGATAGATGGATAGAGGATGAATGGATGGATGGAGCATAAGTGGGTGGGTAGGTGGGTGACTGGATAGATGGATGGATGGATGGATTGATACATGGGTAGATGGATAAATGGATGGATGAATGGAGGATGGATGGATGGATGGATGGATGGGCAGGCAAATGGATGATGGTACAGAGCAATCACCTGGAAGCTGCATTTCCCACTTGAGCTTCTCTTGTCGGCGCCATTTGGCTCTTCTGTTGGAAAACCAGACCTGAGCGAGGACAGGGACAATGCAGCTGGCTGTCCTTTATGCTGTCTGGCACCTGCTGATCTCACCACATGTTCCTTCCTAGCCTGAACTCACAATGTTGACCCTTCCTTGGGCCTGACATCCTCCCTCCCTGCCCTAGCTTTTGCTCTCTGGCCCCTTCCTCAAATCAAAAGTTTTGGTTGGGAAAGAGAGGAGAGCAATCAGCAGAATGTGAACAAGGAGGGTCTCATCTCTGATTTTTGCTCCGAACAAGTTTGCGTCCACCTTCTCACCTCCCCTCTCCACCTCATTGGAATCCAAAACCCTGGCCGGCATAGACTCTTCCTCCTTGTGGTTTGTGCACAGTGTTGCAGAGCCCACTCACCCTCACCGTGTCCTCAGGCAGAGAGGTGGCAGCAGCCAGCTTTCCACGGGCCACTGAATCAGGATACTGCCCACGCTGGAACTCTGCAGATATAGAGGCTCACAGAGTAAGGGCACCAGGAGAGGAGCAAGGCAGGAGTCTCCCCTCAGGCAACAACCCCAAACTACCTTCCTCCTCAAGGCAGGGCCACTCACAGCTTGCACCTCTCAGCCTTTGCCCACAGGCCTCAGGGCCACTGTCCCTGTGTCACACCGAGGACTCTCTGACCCTCCATCTCCCCCAGCCCAGCACCTTTCTCCAATGCTTCTGCTTGGCCTGGGGAGAAGATAGTCCGATTCCGGTGGCTGGTTCCTGGGTGGGGACCCCGGGGAGTCTCAGAGCCACTATGGGGAGGGGGGAGAGCTGGAGCTGAAACAACTAAAAAAAAAGACAACAGTTTGTTCTGGTTTGTGATGGTGATTCCTCTGGTCAGATGGGGTCCCTGAGTCCCTGGGGCTGCAGCCAGGAGACGCCATGGGTGGAAGAGCAGAGCCAAGATGCTGGGGCTTTCACAGTTACTTGGAGGTCACTGGAGGGTCACTTGGTGGAAAGGGTTCTCAACACCACAGTGGGGTGCATACTTAATGTGCAGGAGTTTGGGGGGATCAGCAGCAGGCTTGGTCCAGGTGTGTGTGATCCCAACGAACATGAATGATGCTCTAAGAAGCTATGAACGGGGCAGAGGGAGGGTATGAGACCCAGTCCTGTCTCTTCTTCAGTAGATCCTGTGAACCCAGGGGCTAGGGAACCTGGGTTCTGTTCCAGGAACTGCCATCAACTAGCTGGTGTCCTTGAGTAAGTTACTTCACGGGACCTCAATTTTCTTCTGCCAGGAGAGAATAAGACTCCCTGCCTGGTCCTCCTTATTGGGTTGTTGAGAGGGTGAACCAAGAAAGAACGAGAAAGGGCTTTGGGAAAGCCCTTTTAAGAAAGGGCTACAAAATGCTGGAGATTTGATTCTGGTTAGCCCTGGGGACAACTCCAAGACCCACCTGGTGACCTGAGCTGTGCCCACAGTAGTCCCTGGTCCTCCTGCAGTGCCCGCAGGACTCGATTGATGGAAGAGATCTAGGGGTGTTGGAGTGTTGTGGAGAGATGGTGCTCAGACCGGGTTTGCACCCTGAGGACATTCCTCTTAATATCCTTTCTCCCCTTCTGTCTCCACCCAAGCATTGTTCCCAAGAGCAGCCTCCTCTCTCCCTCTATGCTTTCTTATGCTTTCTCCTTCCACTTCTCTTCTTACCACCACTTTTCAAAAGAAAAACTTAAGGGTCAGAAGAGCCCAGGAGTCCTGTCACCAGCCTGGGATGCCCACATTGCCAAATAAGAAATGCTCTTTGTCGGTTGGGCGCCGTGGCTCACGCCTGTAATCCCAGCACTTTGGGAGGCTGAGACGGGTGGATCACGAGGTCAAGAGATCGAGACCATCCTGGTCAACATGGTGAAACCCCGTCTCTACTAAAAATACAAAAATTAGCTGGGCATGGTGGCACGTGCCTGTAGT